GGGAGACGGGGGGAGAGGGGGAGAGAGAGAGAGAGAGAGATCCCAAGAGTTTTCTCTTTTTTTCAGAAATGTTCCTTATACCCTTTCTAAAGAAAGTCTAAAATAACTTTCAGTTCCCATCAGCAAGAAGCTTACTGCTAAGGGTAAATGTAGTTCAGAGCAATACTATCTTACCGGTAGGGGCACAAATCATGGTGTTTTTGCCATTGAGAGCAGGCTCAGCAAGTTCTATCTGATAGCTTCTCGCCTTCCACGGAATACCTGTGGTCTGCTGGAAGGCATCTAGAAGAGCAAGTGAACAAAAGCACGTTGAAGAAAGTACAATGTATATAAAAATACAAGATATGTATGGCATGTTGAACAGATTACCTACTACCCAAAATCATTATGTGGACACTAAAAGAAATATGATCATTTGGGGGAAGAAAACCCATATGCATGATTTTAATTGGAGCATATCAGCACACTGGAACAGTATGTTGATGATACTCAATTATATCTCTCCACCCCTGGTGAATTAAGCAATACTGTGGATGTCCTGTACCGGTGCCTGGAGGCTATGCGGGGGCTGGATGGGGAACAAGCAGCTTCAACTGAACCCTGGCAAAACTGAATGGCTTTGGGTTATAGGGCCTTCCAAATGTGGGACTTGGGTACTGGATAGGGTGGCATTAACCCAAACAGACCTGGTGCACAATCTGGGGGTCCTTCTGGCCACAACTGCCACTTGCTCTTCAAGCAGGAAGAACAACAGGATCACTTGCTCTGGGGGTGATGGTATCAGGTAGTAATTTCTAAACAACGCTCTTCTATCATAGCTTGCCATTAGAAAAGATAACAATTAAGGACAGGTGTCTGAATTTACCTTGGTTTTCTTTATCCTCCCAATTTCTTTTTCTTTCTTTGTTGTTAATTTAGACTGGCACAAAACTGATTAAAAGCAAATAACCACACATACGTATAAAGTTGAAAACCTTTGCACACATCTGTCGTTTTGTACAGCAATGTGTGAAAATGTTTCCCACACTCAGTTTATAGACTGGGTGACTTGGTATCGCTTGTGTTTAAACATGATGGCTAGATCCTGAGATCATTTTAAGTAAACATTTGCAGGCCTTTTTGCCTGATTCATGGCGCAGGAATTACTCTTATGCCCCACATTCGATTGTCAAAAAGTACCACTTTTCAAAACAAGAAAGTACCTTGCAAGCATTTTCTAAAATAGGTCTGTGACAGACACTTCCCTGAGAAAATACTGAGGTGAAAATGCAGAGAATTCGTGCTAGGTACACTAGTCCTCTTAAAAGAGCTATGAATTCTTCAACCTTGTGTATGTTCAAGCTATTTCAGGATGAGAGCCCTCACAAGGCCTGTGGGTGGCACTTCAGACTGCACCAAAGATAAATGTAACTAATTAACAAATAAATGAGTATGAGTATTCTTTTGGTATTTAATCATTTCTGTCTTTGGTCCCATTTAAAAACAAACCCCACAGTATACAGCAGCAAGGGGCTGTAGGGATAGCATCCAAGCACCATGGGCCCCCCAGGTTGTACTCCTCTGCCCTAGGTGAGAAAATGACAGACAACGTTTGGTAATAGAGATCTCCTCCTTGAGAAGCTACTAAGGGTTTCCTAGAAGAACACGGAGAGTTAAGCCTAATGCAGTTTTCCAATTGTCTTACTTAAAGGTGAACTTCCACAAAGATTGTCAGATTCTGCTTCTTCAGAAAACTGTAGAATTTTAAATACGCAGCTGCCTTCATCTTCATTTGCCATTTCGACGTCCGCATTATCATCTGAAGATGAGACAGAGAAGTCCATTCAATTTCTGCATTGTCATTGCTGTTTTACTCAGCACATCTACTGTATACTGTAAGTACTCCTTAGATGTAAGTGAAGAATAACATGGATAGGAATGCATACATTGGTGTTTGTATTAATATCAATTCAGTGATAACATAAAAACAAATTCATATTCTACACATTTTGGGGAATGCAATTTAAACATGTCTTAATGAAAGCAGAATCACTGCAAGTTGCCAGTCTTAAACAGTGTGGGAGGCCCTATTTGGATGGCCTTGCTCAAGTGACGAAACCTCTGCTTGCTTCTTTAGCAGGAGGCATAGTCCAAATGAATGCCTGTTCCAGAAAGAAGACAGTAGAACCTGTCTGGCATTCTCACATGCCTGAGCATGTGCGAAATCCCTTTTATGTGTACTGACCAGGTCTCAAGAGAGCAAAGTACATGAGAATAGCAGACACTTTCAACATTTTCTGATTCAAGGAGTTCCAAATTGGTGACAGAGGCATCCATAGTGGTGAGGGATAAATGACATCCAAATGACAATACAGGTAGTCCTCGCTCACCGACCACTCATTCACCGACCTCGCTCACCGACCACTCATTCACCGACTGTTCAGAGTTATGACAGTGCTGAAAAAATAACTTTATGACCAATTTATGACCACTTACAACCTCTGCAGCATCCCTCAGTCATATGATCGCCATGTTGTCCTGTGCCTGGCCTGTGCCTTTTTCTTTGTTCCCCCCCTTGCAGAGCAGAGAGATTGGAGAGGAAGGAATGGCAAGAGAGTAAGCTGTCTGCTTTTCTACATGTGGAAAGCAACGCAACTATGCTAGAAGCCTGGGGCTGGAAGCTGCAGGCATGCTACACAAACAGCTTAGTTTCTTAAAATCCCTTCTTCTCCAATCTCTCTGCTCTGCGAGGGGGGAAGAAAGGAAAAAACCAAGCGATTTCTGTAGGCAATCTCTCCTTTGCCTGGCCCTTCCCGCCCCTACAAAGCAAAGAGATTGGAGAGGAAGGGATTTCAAGAAAGTAAGCTATTTGCTCTTCTACACATTGAAAGCAATGCAATCGTGCTGGCAGTGGGAAAGGGTCAGGCAAAGGAGAGATTGCCTACAGAAATCACTTGCTTTTTTTTCTCCCCTCCCCCTTGCAGAGCGAAGAGTTTCGAGAGAAAGGGATTTCAAGAGAGTACTGTAAACTATTTGCGTAGCATGCCCGTGGCGCCCAGCCCTGGACTGCTAGTGTGATTGCATTGCTTTCAATGTGTACAAGACAGTAAGCAGGTACTCGAGCATTCCAAAGAGCAGGGGAGTGGTTAGGAGGCAAACAAAAGCCGAAGGTGTGAAACCAAGTAGTCTTCTCTATTTCCAGCCAGAAAGCATAGTTGCAGTCATGTGATTTCCCACTCACATGACCTTTTTGTTTACCAGCAGAGTTGCCAGCCTCAATTAGGGTCATTAAGTGAGGACTACCTGTAATAACATGGCGATGGAAGCCTTGCCCATGTTAGTGCACATGCAAATTAAAACAAAGGGGATTTGATCACCTAACTGTGATCATCACTTTGAGGTCATTGACACACACCCCACCCCCCCCATGGACATCCCAATTGGTGACTCTGCCTCTTGTAACTTTCTCTACTCTGGAGGTCTTCCAAAGAAAAGAAACTGAATGGAGAGTAAAGCAAAGAGACAACAATACCTCCTTTCAAATTCCATAGGTCTCTCTGGTTCTTGTATTTAGTCGCATCCAGTGCCTGGTGGAAGGTTTCAGGCCAATCTTCTTTGTCCGATCTACACAGACAGTCTACAAGTTTGCTTGCACCTGCTTTTCTCCCTTTCCTTTCTCTAACCTGCAAATCAGAACGATGAGGCAGAGGGGAGTATTTATTTATTGCTTTTCTGTAACTCAGACTCAAAAGATATACTCCCAGGTACAAGTAACTAAACCCAAGAACTAAAACACCAATGACCTGAGCAAAATTCACAAACCTTCTCTTGTAATACTAAGAGAATATAAAATAAAAAGCAAAGTCAATTTTAAAATCCACCATTTATTCCTTTCTTTGTTCATAAACGTTAATTCCCTTGCTAACCTACCTGTAACCTGGACCACATCAGCATCTTCTCAAATACTTATAGAAATGAATCAAGCTAGTAAGAATCGATCTGGGTTTTATTTTTGCTTTCTGAATATGCTGAATTACTACGCTGTGCAAAAGGAAAGGCAGGGGCCCTTTTCTAATATAATTTGGGCAGCCTGTTGGCAGAGCAGTTGGGCAGCAAAATGGGTGGTCACTGGGCCTTCATTTGCCTTGATGCAGCAGCACAAGACCCAATGGAGACTATGAGAGATCTGGCTGCAGGGAGGTGTGCATGAGATCTGTGGCTCTTGGATGGTGGTGGGTTAGCGGTGGTGGAGGCGGGCACAGCCAGGGAGTAGTGTGCCAGAGTGAGCTTATGTCTGTGGCCTCTGAGTATTGCCCTTGCACGTTTCGAGTGGCCATTTTGTCTACCCCGTCCGCTTGAGCTCTGGAAAACACAGCGCAGCAGCCATTTTGGTGGATGGATTTGTTGTTGCCCTGGTGTTTTTCATCTTGGGACCTGAAGGATGCAATGGATGGACTGCTTTTCTCAGTGGGGTGTATTTGGCAGGGTGCCCCTTCCCCTATTGAGGGGAAGCTTGCCCTCTGCCTGGGCGAGAGCCAAGGGGGTAGCAGTTGGATTACCCTTGTCTAAAGGTGAAGTGGGGTTACTGTACCAGGCCAGTGAGAAGGGTCTAGTCAGGGGTTGCCCAATTGGGGTGTGATGTTGGTTGGGCTGAGGGGGCTTATCTGAGACACTGGAGGTGCTGAGTGTGCGTGCTGTAGCAGCCAGGAGCCTAGATCCTCTCCTGGGGGTGTGCTGGTTATTGGAGTGGAGTGAGGGTCCTCTACTTTGGGTGTGAGCCAGTATGGGTTGGGGGAGGAAGGGATTTCGGAGGAGTTAAGGGCGGGTCAGAGTATCTTGGTGGTAATGGATGGGGGAGATATGGTGGGAGATAGGGGGCAGGCTGCTCTCGGGGAACATGGCCCTGGTGTCTTTCCAGCGCCATGTTCCAGCCCCTTGGGCTCTACCCCACGCCCCGGTCAGTAGACCTTCAGAGCCCCAGGCTTTTCACTGCTGCTGCATAACGCCTTGATCAGAGATGAGAGGGCTGACCTGGTGTGATTTACTGAGACCTGGCTGGGCTCAGGGGTGCGGTTGGGTGCCCCTCTCACATCTTTGCCCCAACCCTACAGGCTTTTTGCAAGATCCTGGAAACATGATTTTGCCAAAGGGCATAGGGACACAGGAGTGTGGTGGAGCCAGTGCAGTGGCTGCAGTGATAGTCGGGATGAATGGGATTGTTACGATTCAGTTTTTTTATGCTTTTGTATTTTCTTCCTATTTTTGTGGTATTGTCCTTTTCTGTTGTTGTTATATTTGTTTTCATTGCTTATAAGGCACCCGGAGTCATACATATGAGATGGGCAGCTATATAAATTTGAAGAATAAATAATCAGGTAGCCCACAAGGACTTGCAGGCTACTAGTCAATGTGGAATAATAGACAATACCACTGAGTGTTATTGACCAAGCAGTTTAAATAAATAACTAGACAACCCATGACCCATTGGGTTATCCTTTCAGAGATATTTTCTTATCTAAACAGAGAAACAGAATGACCATGGGCGGGCAAAAAAGCAGTGGGAGCAGGAGCGACTTCCGACTTCCTGACAGCTTCCCCACTGACTTTGCTCGTGGGAAGCTGGCAGGGAGCATCAGAAATCACTCCTCCTCCTCCTCGGCTGACCCGTGGAACTGCCTGCTGCTTTGATGGGGGAAGGGGGAACAAAGAGAGCCGTGACTGCAAGGAAAACTGCACCCCCACTCCCCATCCCTGCAAGTCCCCGAGGGTCCCTCCCTCCAGGGAGGAAGAGGGCTCACCCCTGACCAGCCCTACCTCGCCAGCAGGCATCCAAACTGCTCCCTCGTCCTTCCCTCACCTCCAACCACCACTAAGAGATTTCAGATTTCAGCCTCAGTTCCAAAGCAGCCAATCGCCACTCACCCATCAGGCTTTGCTGCCAGCCAGTTGGGCACAGGGGCCAGGGGGAGGCAGGAAAGAGGGTGGGGATATGCCCCTCCCACCTTCCTTGCACCATGCAACCTATGGATTTCTGGGAAGTGTAGCCAGAAGGCGTGGTGGTGCTGAAGTGGCCGCAACTTTGTCGAATTTCAATCTCGCAGGAGTAATGGGTCCCAGATTTTGGATGCATTCTTTAAGTTAGCCGATTTGAGGTACATTGATTCAAAAACTGTTGCCCTATGATGCACTGTTTTACCCAACTGAAGGTTACAAACAGACAAACACTGAGAGTTTTAGTTATATAGATACCTGGAGAATTTCTTCCCATTCCTGGTCTAAGAGGCACTTCCTCATGTGGTAATGAACTTCTTTGATGTCAATGTCCTGCAAAGTAGGCTCAATTCGTTTCAACAATTCCCTGTGAGGTTCCAGATTTTCAATTATCTTGAAATCCCAATTTTCAATTGCTTGATAAAGGCCACTATAACCTTAAAAAGCGGAGTAGAAGATACCAACTCAATCTCATGTTAACAGCTCCTCCCCACCCAAAATTATTCCCACTAATTTCTCTGTTATAATGGTGTTGTTTTTTTTTAAAGCAAGAAAATGGGTACACTATCCCCCACAGTTGGGTAGTGTGCTTACTTTATTAATTTAAAGCATATTTATTTGGTAAATTTTATCTTAAAATGAGGAAAACCCAGCCCCAAATTCTAGCTATTGCTTCCAGCAATCTTATTGGATCACAGTCTCATAGATCTGAGGCTAAAGGAATCAATCAGCTCACTGGCAGAGGCTTTTGGAAGAAGCCATCTTTCAAACAGGACGTTTACATGTGAACTGATAATGTGTTTCCTGCTTTGTAATTGAATATGATCCAGTATATATATTTTTTTCTATTTCTCATACTCTGAACTGTTTGAATAATACTTTTGTGTAGTACCCAATATGCAGTCAGTGAAATGGCAATTGTTGACTTTGTTTATTTATTTAATAAATAATTCAAGGTGGCGAACATACATAATATTATATTGTTATAAGTTTTAACTGTACATTTATTTATTGTTTTAATGTGTTGTGAGCTGCCCAGAGTCCCCCATTGGGGGGAGATGGGTGAGGGGACTAAATAAATAAATAAATAAATAAATAAAACTCCTCCCTCCTCCATTTTTCCCCACAACAACAACACTGTGAGATGGGTTGGGCTGACAGAGAATGACTGGCCCTAAGTCACCCAGCCAGATCCATTTATTTAGAGCCTTAGACAGAGAAGAATTATAGTTTAGCAAACACTTCCTGAAGGACAGAGAAATCATACCAGCTGCTTTTAGTGCATCCAGAAACCCACGGAACCATCCATCCGTGCTGAGCTCTACAACGGACTGAAGAAAGAATTCTGCTGCCATGGTTGGCCGATCACTTTGCTCTTGAATTTTCTCCACGGTCTCTAGAATGAAGTCAGATTGCAGATAAGACTGTTGCAGTAAACTTCTCATCTTAAGGTTTAAAGCAAAATAACAGACTTTGAAAGCATTGAAAAGTCCATCAAAAACAATGTGCTGGTGCTGGCAGCCATTAGTGCACTATGCAAACAGCTGGTGTATTCCGCATTGCGTGCCTGCTTACTCTCTTGAAATCCCTTCCTCTACAATCTCTCGGCGAGGCGAGGGAAAGAAAAAAAGCAATTTCTGTAGGCAATCTCTCCTGTGTCTGACCCATTTCCTGTTGGCGCACCTTCCTGTCATGAAGGGCCAGGCTGGGTGCATCTCGTCAGCAGCGGGAGGAAGAAGACAGCGAAAATCAGCTGGGGGCGGCAGGGGCAGCGAAGCACAGGGCGTTGGGGATGGTGGAGTGCAGGGCAGCCAGAAGGACAGAGATGGGGGGAGATAGGTGGCCAGGGGGAAGTTGAAGTGCACCCATCGGGGGAGATGGGCGGCATACAAATTTAATAATAAATAAATAAATAAATAAAAAGTGCACCCTGCGGTTATAAATGCAGGTGGGCTGCCAAGCACCTGACTTTTGGTCACGTGACTGCAGGGGTGCTGCAACAGCCGTAATTTCAAGGACCTAGCATAAGTACCATTTGTTCAGCACTGTCATAACTTTGAAAGGTCACTGAACGAATAGTCATTAAGCGAGGACTACCTGAAGAATTTTCTGTATCTCATTGCTGCCATCTACTGGACATCTGATGTTCTGCAGTCTGGCTATGTTAGATCTGTGGAAGACTAATATTCGACCATCACAAGGATCTCTTCACCTAAAAAATCTCCATCACACTCTATTAGGTTTTAAAACAGTTGCTATCAATAGATGCAGTTTTTACAGTTTTTACAGCCAGCTACAAAGCACATTTGCATACATGACCAATTGAGTACACTCCATCTTCCAGGACTAAGCTTTTAATGTGATTTGAATGGCATGGCTGGCAAATGCATTACTCTTCCCAAACCTTTGGAAGGAATCACTCACATGCATAATTAAATTTACCAGATACAATGATAAATCCATTCTGTGGTCTTATTGGCTCTAGAATTTTAAGTCTTTATCAACATAAACAATGTGACATAGTTGTCAAGGTTGACTCTGGGCCAATAACAATCTCTCAGCCTAACCTACTTCACAAGGTTGTTGTTATGAGGAAAAAAAATGGAAGAATGCTATGTCCATACAGCCTTTTTTCCTGGAGGACAGACTGGATAAACTAAACTAAAAATCCTCACGTGCCCAAAATAGGGTGAGCATTCTTTAAGTGAAACTGGGATTAGGTGCACGTATGATGGGAGATGGAAACCAGTATCTATGGGCCCATGTGATGATGTCCATGGCATGGGGACGACTGAGACTTGAGAGAAATAAATGGTAAAGAGAAGAAAGAAAAAGGAAGGAAGGAAGGAAGGAAGGAAG